ATGTATTCTTTTTTCCTGTTTTTGTCCACGTTTTAACAAAATGAGTTAAGCATAATTCAAATTTGACTGGCACAGTCCGACTGCGGCCAACTTCGGGAAATTGTTTTCAAGTTTTTCCATTCTTTCCTACTTGAAAAAAAATGTGCGCGGGTCAAAAATAATGAAGACATCAACAATGGCGGAGCACAATACATATGCCATTACACAATATGGATGGATATTAAAATTGGCATCTTTGAAATGCATCGTCTCTCAGTTGTCTTGCCTTAATTAATTAGTGATATCTTCCGGCTAAGAGCTGGAATCGAGAAATCACTTATAATAAATGGAAATAGTTTATCCTGACTGACTTTCTATTATTAGTAACATAATTATTATTAGTAACATAACAGATGGAATTTTGCGAATTAGTAGGTTGGCTTATACAATACTTATAGACACTCCTCGCCACTTATGATTATTTGCTCTTAATGTTTGAGTTCCTTGAAACCCATATTTTTGCACCACTTAAATAAAACATGGATCTTTTCTGCTTTTTGTTAACTTCCATTATTTATTAGAAAAATACTTCAAAGTGATTGAGAAAAGTTTTAATCTTGAATGAAATAGGCCAGATCAAAACTTATACTCAACTTTGGCAAATTATTGCCCAAAAATGTAAACAATTAATTAAACTCTAATTAAATTACAATTTCTGACTTGGTTTGGGAACAGTGGACGATATAAACAGATTAGGGGGTGTTCTACTCAATTGACAAGGGGTGTGTATGTGGGAGGCATCCGCAGGCATAACATCGTGTAAGTATATAAAATAATAAGATTGAATAAAAAAATTTAATGAAATAAATTAGAGAAATTTGTAACATCAAAATATAGATTTACGCAATGCTCAACTGCACAATTTTGCCAAACTTTTATGAAAAAAAATCCACATAGCAAATAAGTTTCGTTGGCCATATTATTATTATTTATTATTATTGCTGTAGAGACTGTGCACTGTAAACTTATATGTTATATGCCCAATGCTGTATCTTAGAGTCCTTATTTCACTGTTATATGTTATATATGTTATATGCCCAATGCTGTATCTTAGAGTCGTTATTTCACTAGTATTTAGGGTGCAAGCCCTTGGCCTTGCACAGTCTACACATATACCATCTTTATACCATCTTTGAGACAACCTTGTAGCTGCAAAACAATGCCAAAATACTCCTATTTTAAGTTACTCACATATCAAGATAGGTTCTTTTGATACTAACAAAGCCTTGAGAGAGAGGGAAAGAGATTCATACGAGTATATTTATTCAATTTACCCGCATTTGCTGCAACGTCTGTGGAAAATGTGTTACTGTGTGCAATCAGGCAAAAAGCAAGAAAAATAAAAAAAAGCCCACCATCACTTTGCCAGACCAAACCAGCCCAGCCCAGCCCAGTTCAGCCCAACCACTTAGTCTGAGCCACTGTGTAGCCACAACCACAGCCAATGCCTATGAATTATGTAAACCTCAAGCGGCTAACGTCATGGACACGGTCCCGAATCTGCCTGTCTGGAAAAAATCAAACAAAATCGATTGATGTACAAATTTTTCTTAACATCCGCAAACAATTTGATGCTGCTCGCAGGAGGCTGCCGCCTTTTGATTTGTGCGCCCCCCAAATGAGTGGGGCACACGAGGCCGTTAAGAATGCTGCTTTTGGTTTTTGCTTCATTGGCAGCCTGCTTCTAAATTATGTAGATTTGATTTAGCATAACGCTTGCGGGAGTCTGTTTGGTGTGTGTCTGTGTATGTTGGCTGTTCTTCTTTTTGTTTTTGTTTTTGGTTTTCTTTTTTTTTTTTGTGTTTTTGTTAGCATAGAGAGGATCTTTGGCCGTCTAACGTACAACATTTTAAACCGTCATTAAGCTGGGCCCATAAATATCAGGGCGCCTCCTCTTCTTCAACGGCTTTTGCTTTTGACTGTAAAATTATGTAAATTTATTTGGCCATAGCATTGCCCTTTTGCTGTTCCTTTAGTTTCGACTTGTTGTTGGCCACTGACTAACTGGGTCGATGCTTGTAAATTGTACTGAATTACAGCCCTGGCTAACACACTGGGTTGCACTAGCTAGTTAAATTTGTTGCTGCTGTGTATTCCTGCTTCGATTTTAGTCCAATTCCCCGCCCATTTGCTTTCTCTCACACACTTTTTCCTTCTCACCCAAACCAAAACCAAGTTTTCTCGCGCTACATTTGAGAGAGAAACATTTTCTGCAGTTGGGAAAAATCAAATCAGTTGAAAATTAATTTAATTCGCACTTGGCTTGTAAAGTTTTTCTTTCATGTAGCTTTATGATTTGCTTGCATTTACTTTTTCTTCAGTTGGACGACAAAAAAAAATAAGGAAAAAAACGAAACAAGCAAGATGCAAATTTTTAATTATAAAAGTTTGAATCGCAGTCGCCTTGTCGCCCCTCTAGCCGTCAGTCAGTCCGTCAGTCAGTCAGTCCGTCAGTCCGTCAGTCGGTGAAAGAGCAGAAAACAATGCGTTCCATTTGAAATTGTTGCTAGCGAGTGCAAAAGCAGACATTGGTTGCCCTTGCCAATTGCGCGATTTTACCAATATTAATTATGATTTCGTTTCCACAATTTCATTTTGCAAATTTTGCAATCCAAGTGTAAATGTGAAAATGTGAATGTGTCCTGAGAGTTGGCTTGAGGAGCGCAACTTAATTAATTTTACATTGTTTTGAGTTGCGAGTCGCGAGTTGGCTGTCAGAAAAGTGTTCAAATGATAAACGAGCTAATTAATATGCGCCAAAAGTTTGCCCGAAAATGTCTGAAACTATAGCTTGTGGCTCTATAGTTCTGCATTATGCGCTTCGCAAAAGGACAAAAAAAAAATTCCAATTTGCGGCAATTGCAGCACAGTTCTATCAGAAATTTACCAGTTACTAAGTTCGGTCAACGACTTGCCAGCAAGTAAGGGGAAAGAATGTTGGAAAAAAAGAACTGCACCAGCTGCATACGCAAATTTCATTAAAATTCATGTGAAATATATTGAGACTTGCATGCATAATGGTCACTAAGTTTGAACTGTTCACAAACTTGTGTCAAGTGTGCTGCGCCCATTTTCTACTTCCTGCCCCACAAACATACACAGACACACACCCACACACACTTTGACACCCACAATCCTTGCCCTCAAATATGCAAATACCGGCATGAAAAGCGAACACTACGCCATGTTGCAACTTCAAATAACAGAAAATTTCCGAGAGCGGAAAAACACAGAAAGAAAAAAAAAAAGACCTCATCGGTCTCACTATAGCCTTTTAATGCATTTCTCTAAAAATGGAGCTCAAGTAGTTGTGCGCTCTATAAAATTTCATGCATAAACTTTGCGCCAAATGTAAAAGTTTTTATAATTTAAGCCAGGCACGTATACGGTGTCCAGTGTACCCGCACAATATCAGCTTAGAACTGTTCCTACTAATGTCCCCAGTTTGCTGCCACTTATATGCCATGCTTACGAATGCTAATCAGTCGCTGGCTGGTTCCGATTTAAGCACTATTGATGATGTTAAAAAAAAAATAATTTAGATTTTAAGCATGTTCTACACAGCTGGCACACAGATGCTGCTTCAAAATATATCTATAGGTAAAAATTTAATAATTTTAATATAGTCTACGAATTGAAATAAATAAATACAAAATAAATTATGGAATTTGGCACTCAAATCAAGCTTAAACTTTGTTAAGCGCGAAATAAATTTGCGCCTTCAAAAGGCAGTCTTAGGCACTACAATGTTAAGATTTAAAGTGGAGCCCGGGTAAACCATAAATAAAAACCAATTTGGATTTTTGTTTTTTATTTTACATCTAATGCTTTATTTTGTATTTGAATAATTTGGAGATGTTTGTTATCATTAATGTTTCTTATGCGCAATAATCATACAATGACCACCATCATATCATAGAGCTAGTTAGTAATTAGTGGATTTTGTAAATACTTTTTTTTTTTTGGTTGCTTCTGAGAGCTACCTAGCAATGTGATCTTAGATTGAGACAACTCGGTTTGATGAAGTTTTTGCATTTGCATTCGCTATATTATGTTTAATATGTATGCCGTTATTACAGTCTAATGTAAATATTATTAAGTGTCTGGGTAACTCGATGCAGGCTGCAAAATGTCCATTTGTTAATGCTTCAATTACAGCAATTTTATTCATACACATTTAATTTCCATCTATTTTTTGTCTATGTGTTTTTCGAAGTACAAGTACAACTACAGAAAAGTCATACTATATGTACTAACAAATATATATGTTCAAAATAAGGGCCGATTTCAGATAGAGCTTGCTTTCGTTTAGCTTGGCCTTTTGTTTGTCTTCAATTTCATTTTTTTTCTTTTTTTTTTTGTTTTTTTGTGGCTTTATGAATATTCAAAATATACAAATTCACAATACATACGATCGTAGTACAACTGTTTAGGTGCAAAAGCTGATCAAATGTCAATGTTCTTGTATTTACAAGTACAACTCAACTAGCTGACCAATTAAGGGTTTTTGTTTTGTTTTTATGTTTTTCGTTTTTTTTTTCGTTTATGTTTATATTCTGGTATTGAATTACGTACTCTGCAAAAATGCACATTTAATTTATGTATTTATTTGTATTTGATATTATGGTTTAGTTTAGTTTCCTTTGCTATTGGTGGTACAACATGTTTGCTTAAATGCTAATTTACATTGAAAACGTTATTCTCTAAATTGATGTTCTTGGTGCGCTTAGAACTATGTTGAGCGAAATAAAGAATACAAATAAAAACCAAACAAAACACACATATATAAAATAAACCGAAATAAATTTGTAAATATTTATATATTTTTATGTGTATATATATTAAAAATACCTTATGGCTAAACAAATTTTACAGTGGTGTTCCGCTTTAGCTATTCATTGGTATATATGAATTGTTGGTTTCATTTTCGTTTTGGGTTTTTAACTAAATAATATCACTATATATAATATTTGCTTAATTTACATACACATATATTATTTATGCTTTGTAGTTTTTATGAAGTACGTAAAATGTAATTCACATTCAAATATCTAATGCATATTTACATGACCTAGTTCGACTGGATTATCCTAGTACTATGGATTTACTGTGTGTATATGTATGTGTGTTCATTTATTTCATTGCGCATTTTGCATTTCATATTTTTCTCGCTTTGTTTATAATCGCATTTAATTTTTCCACTCTGCTTTCAAACGCTAATTAAATCGCTGACAAAATGCTTGGAAAATTATTTACATTGTAGATTTTGAAGTGTTTTTGCATAATTTTTACATAAAATTGCACAAAAATCATTTGGTATCCTCTCTTTGGTTTCAGTTTTCTGTAGTTAACGTGTGATAAACAATGTATGGTATCTAAATTGAAGTGTCGAAAGTGTCAAATTGAAAGGTATACAAAATATAACCAGTGAAAATATAGACGGAAATGTGAAATGGATTTTGGGCTTAATCAAATAATATCATATCATAGTTTACATATCGCATTCATACTATTTGCTGGCATATTATGTAGCTTTAAATATACATATAACTAATCTCAGAATGCAAGTTGCAATGCCACATTCGATGGATACATTGCGTCATTTTGGGGCACATTGGTCGCTTACCCCAAGCCCAAACGGAGACTGTCAAATTGAGTGTTGCGCAAACCAAAGACAATCAATAATGCACCACATAGAAGCAAACAGTGGGTTAAAGCATTCTGCAGGCTGCTCAGAGCACCACTGTTGCTGCGAGACTTGGAGCTGGCAACCACCTCGGCATCCTCGGGCGCAATGTCCATGCTGTTGCTGGCGACAATAAATTGGAATATATCGCTGACCTGCAGGATGCAGAGTGAGTGCAAAAAAGAGAAGTAGAAAAAGGATGACATATTTTATTTAATAAAGATTATGATGCCCATGGCCCCGTCCAAATGTATGCAATGTGAACATATTTGTAACACAATTTACCTCGTTCCAACCGTAGCGATTCTTGGCCTGCACAATCGCCTCGTAGTAGGCACCTGGATGCAGATGCTTAATGGTGTAGGACATGATATGTGTTAGAGGTTCCGAGGCGGGACGATGTTCGGGGGTGAGTATAAAATCATGCCATCTGCCTGGCTGTTGGAATGTGTCGTTCATCTGAAAACAGCGTGAAATTATATTTATGCTGGCAATGATTTCTTCTGATTCTTGACAGCTGGTCCTTAATCAAGCTTAAGACTGTCATCGCTGAACGTAATCAGCCAGATTTCAAGCTGCAAACTACTTAGCCGTTTATTGGATGAAGTTGGAGGAGTAATTAAGTCAATGATAACTCATAAAGCTAATTAGATTTCTAATATGACTTGGCTTGGCATTCGCGATTCGCAATCTTTGCTTTAATTAACTGAAAGTGGTATAGGAGATTGGCAAGTTTCTAGCTAATGCATTTTTATTTGGCTACTCGATTTGTTGGTTTGGCTTCACGTTTTCGAATTGAATGCTTGAAATTAAATGTATGTTGTTACTTTGATCCAATGAAAGAGGAATAGAAAATTGATATGCTTCTAACAAATCTATTCTGATTAAGCTATTCGATTTGCTGACCATGTTTTCCTGCTTTCAACCTGTAGCAATATGGCTAATAAAAACTTACAAAACTTTTCTTTTATTTTGTTTCTCGCTTATTCGCTTAAAAATTCCCGTTTTGTGTGTTTTTAGTATTAACTGACTTGCGAACCTCAATGCATGCTGATGAGTAGATTAGCTCTCACATTCTTGTAAAGTTGACAATTGGTGAAATTCGCCAATAACAAAATTCCATTTCAAAAGTTGCAAATTTAAAAGTAATAAAAAAAATTATATAAAAATTGCTAGCAGCAAGTTAAAAAATAGCTCCTAGTTTATTTAAGAGATTTCATATTTGTCCATAATCACAACTAATTCTTTCAAAAGTTACTTATTAACAACTTTATTTCATATATGTGAAAACTTAATCCGTCGAGTTCTTAGTTGTGAGGATGTTACTTACCAGTACTCGTCGGTAGAGGAGACGCACTTCTTCCAGTGGTGGATAACTGTCGATTTTCCATGTCAAATTGTAGCTATCCGAGGAGCGACCCCATTTCGGTGAGTAAAACTCAGCCGGACCTGGCCGACCAGATAGTTCCATGTACTTGCGGGAGCGTCCCAGAGAATTATCTGCTACGCAGCTATAAATGGAATGGAAAATATAATACAATTAAATCAGGCTAAAGTCATCAATTTAATGCTGGATTCAAGGACAATTTTCGGCAATGCCTGGTCGAATTTCCCGCCCCCCTCAAACATTACGACATTAAATTGCGCACATAACCCGCTAATCAGAAGTTTTGGCATTGGATAGAGAGAACAACTCTCGTGGGATTTGTGGCAGTAAGTCATGCTGCGTGTCTCCTTGTGTCTGGCAGGAGGCATTGTCAACTCAAATAACCCAAAACACGTCTATGCCAGAAGCCACTCGTTGTCAGAGACAGGTGGCAATGGATGGATGGGTATCGAGTTTGTTCAACATTGGAGTTATTCTTGCCAGAAAACCTTTCTTCATGAAATGTTGTGTCAATGTGGCGAAACTTCCGTTTCTTTAATATGTTTCAGACATATTGACATTGATGTAGAAAACTTGTTTGCCCATTTATTTTGGCCAAGACACAAATAAGCATTAAAGTATATACATCTAACAAATAACACCAATACACTCAGAGAGAGAGAGAGAGAGGGTGCATAATATAAGCCCAGGTAGGATCTGGTCGTCTGTCGCCTTTTTATGTTCTTTTGTTGAAATAAAATTGTTGCAAAAGTTGCCAAATTGACTAAATCGATGTTGTGCAGCAAAGTTCTTGTATTTTTTTTGTTTTTTTTTTTGTTTTTGTTTTGTGTGTCGTACAAGTTGTCTGTTTCTGGTGCTCTCACTTACCTGTAGTTGCCAAAGTCTTCCTGCTGAATGTGACGTATGGTAAGTGTGTGTCGATTGGCTCTCGTGTTCATAATTCGCCTGTCTGTGGTTTGTATCGGAAAGGAGTTTTGATACCAGGAGACCTGCATGATGGCAACGAAATATAAGTTAGTGAAGCTGAGAGAGACTAATCAAATCAACACAATAAAAGTTAATAAACTACCAACCTAAAAAAAGAAGTGGAATAAATAAAGTATAAACCGAAAACACATTAACAAACGTCTAAAAATAATTACAACAAAGAGTGACCTAAAAACAAGCTCGTTGCTTAAAGTACAACAGAGCAAAGCAAAACAGATGGTTATTGTAATCTTAAAAGTCGCAACAAGAACAAAAAAAAAATATATATATATATAAGCTGACTATACTATACTGTAGCACAACAATGAAACGATAACGAAACATTAAAAAACCCAACAAACCGTTGCGACTGGATCAGCGTAAACAATGCAAACGAGTTTCGCCTCAAATCCCTCACCAGAGTGTATCCACGATTTCTCCACTTGAATATCCGGTGGATCTGTGTACGTAAACACACACACATATATATAAAACACGCAAAGAGAAAATCAATAAGTTAAAAATGGTGGCACTGTCAGACTTGAGACATCCTTTGTATATCAGAAATAATACAAATATGTTTGGCTTAACTTTTTACAAATTTAACCGAGGTATTTGAATTGTTGCCGCCTTGCAAACAATATTTCAAAATTCACGAATTCAATTTGTTCAATAAATAGTCGTTTGTATTTAATCCACAATATGAGCATTTGTTTCTTAAAACTACTTTAATTTATGAGAAAAGTAATTCTTGTTATAGAAACGATAAGAGCGCAGATTATATTTATTGAGTCTGCTTTATCTTTTCAAAAGTTTGACTTACTTAACTTGCAAGATCTCATATCTAATTTTCTCTAATATATACCTTTGTCTCACACTTACCTAAGTTGGCAGATTCCATATAATTTTTTCTTATATACTTGTTAGATCTCATATCTAATTTAATAATTCACACTTGCTTAACTTGGTATATCGCACACCTAATTTTCTTCTAGTCTTTAGTTTGACTAGTAATGCCTCTCACTAAATTGAATAATTTAATGGTAAACTTGCTGGTAGATTGCTACATTCTGACGTTTCTTAAATTTTATATATATTTCGTTCTACTCACAGAGCACATCCAGACGCATATCAACTGTAACTGGGTCGCCGACTCCATTGTCGGCGGTGCATTGGTAGACTCCTGCTTGCTGGCGCTCCAACTTGTCCAGAGTCAGGATGGGTCCATCGCCAATTCTTGCCGGTGATTTTCCAGTGCCGCTCTGTTGGTAAATCATGTAAAAAGTTGTAAAATTGATTCGCCTTGCAGGTTATAAAAGTGAAGTCATCGAGGTGGATTAAAAAATGTCAAAAGTCAAATGCACTTGGCAACCAAAAGCTAAAAAGGTTGGGTGAAAAAAAGGATATATTTTGACTCTTGAATATGCGGTGCAAAAGTCAACCTGCAGTTGTCCTCACGACAAAACTGGATGTAAATACAAATATCGAGAACACGACGATATTGGAGAGGAAGCAAAAGATTCTCGTACTTAAGTCACAAAGGGCCAAGTGGGAGTCATTTCTCGTCGTTTTCCTCATATGTAGCCAGTCACTCAGTCAGTCAGCTTTCGCTTGAAGAGCGTCTTGTCTTTGACAGACCGACAGACAGACAGACGGACAGACAGGCAGACAGGTTGGGCCATGTCAACGCCAGCGGGGAACACGTGTTGATTTCTGCTTCTACAAAAACAAATTCGTGGCAAGGATTCTGTTGGGGTGGGTGGAAATGAGTGTAAATTGAAGCGAAATCGAATGACATACAACTGTTTGGGAGCGTTTGAAAGTCAACAGTCAACATACCGGGCCAGAGCTGAGCTGTGGCCCATGTCGAGAGCAAAGCATGCAAGCACACAAATCGAACGGAAATGTCAAATGCGCCAAAGTGCAGCAAGGCACAACGAAGAATGTTTGAATAGCAAAAAGGGTCGGCGAGTTGGCAACTTCCCAGACACAGATATGTATATTTCCAGCACTTGTCTCATGGAAATATTGCCAACACTCTGCTGAAGTCGAATTCATAGTAGTAGGTCGTTTCTGTTTGACATTTGACCAGCTAGCTCAGTTTTCTCGCATACTTTTTGGATTTATGCAAACAACGAATTCATTACTATTTGGCCACAACTACTGTCTTTGATACACTAGATGAATATACATGCATACACTCAAACAAAAACTCCTTGAATTTTAGAAAATCTCTCTGAATACTAAATCACTTTTCTTGTATCTAGAAATAGTTTTTAAATATTTTAAATAGTTTTTCAATAATATTTTTCTTAATATTATAGAATATTTGTAAAAAGTAGATATGCAAATTGTTATTATTAGCAAAAATCCTTGTTGATATTCACAAAATATTAATGAAATTAAGAAAACAAAAATTTGGGAATATACTTTTTGAATAACAAAGTCAGTTGCCTTGGACGATTTTCTTAAATTGGTAACGATTCTCTTTCTGTGTGTATATACAACATATGCACAGGAGAAACGATGTTCGAGTAACTAGATAATCTCTATTTCAGTGGCCAACAGAGATATATGCAATTTCTGCTCGTTATTGTCTCTATGGCAATGCTACTTCAAAGGTAAATTTGCTCTATCTCACACCTGTTATTGCAATCTTTGGTTTATTAGGTGTTTTTTTTTTTTTGGGTTGCTTTGCGTACACACCTTTTTGGTCCAGTAAATCGATGGCACCGGGTTACCAGAACCCTTACACTCCAATGTAATTGGTCCACCTTTACGAGCCTGCAACTGGCCGGATGTGGGAATAGCACGAACGCTGGGAGGCACTGTATGTGGCGGTAAACAATGTTTTAGTTTGGATATATAAAACAATAAATAATAAAGAATTTGTTATATTTTAAAATCGAAATAAGACTTAAGATATGGTATAATTGTTTAACATCTATCAGAGGACTCACCCAATATTTCGACAGTGTGGACTTGATCACGATTTATTTTGTCACTGATTTGGCAAACATAATCCCCAGCATCTTGTGGCTCCAAATCGGATATCTCTAAATTATAACCATCTATCAGACTTACGCGGTCATCCCTTGTTACCATAATGTGGAGGCGGTAAGAACATTTGAGCCACGACGCCACAACAGGATGAAATTGCCTGCAAAAAACAAATGAAACACAAATAAAAACCGAAAAAAGCTGTGAACTGTGTTTCAAAAACAGACTTAATATTTGAGGCGGATACGAGATACGGCTGCATATGTTGTTCTCGCTGTTAGCTGGGAAAATTTATTGTAAAACGCCACAATACAAATATAAAGCCACTAACATATATACACTCATACAATACATGCACACTTTGAAGAAGCTAAATAAATGGCATTGAGGCAGTCAGAAGGCTCAAATTGTAGTTGCAGACAAACACTCACAAACACACACAAACACACACACACATATTATACACACTCATACACATACTATACACCCACATAAGGCTATCTATCTAAAATGCTATCCCGCCTGGAATGGCCCCATGTCACTTTGTTTGTCTGCTGAGCTGTGAACATTCTACAGATTCCCTCTTGTTTGGCTATCCAATTGCCGGCAAGCTTCATTCCACTCGTATGTGTGTGCATGTGTGTGTGTGCGTGTGAGTGTGTGTATGGGTGTGGGTGTTTTCATCTATTTTTTAGTGTGTTTACTCATATAAATGACATAATTTCGCAGATGTTGCTAGCAGATTCTTTTCTTGTTTTTATTTATATTTTTTTTGCTTATCTTTTTCTTTTCTTTTTGCATATTTTATACAACTTACGGTTTTTATTGCCATTACCACAAGAGGCAAACGTAAATTTGTTAAACGGGATTACATGCCGCATAATACATATATTTATTAATTTTATGTGCTCAAGACTGAGAGTGTGTATTAAAGATATATTGCCAAGGACAGACATTGTGACGCATACAACACACAGTTTTGAGTTTTGTATTTTCATTGAAAATAAATATTTATTGTGATAGTAAAATAACCAATAGAAAATCTAAGTTTAAGCCAATAAGCCAAGTTAGGGGGGTTCAGCCAGAAGGGGGTTCTGTCAGATGAATTAACAAATTTCGGTCCTACATTTTCTAGGCTGCTTCATCTCTTACTGCTGGTCAGGACGAAAATAAGTGCTCGGTAGATTATTCATCTTCCTTCTATGTGCAGCTACTGCAGTATCCCTTAAAATACTTTATACAAGAATCTAGAATCGCAGACATATAAAGTGGCGAGAAAAAATACCACCACTATGACATATTTTCTCTCCTCTTAGAATACTTAAAAATATATATCTAAGTTTTTTTTTTCTTCATATTTTAACGGAAGAGTGGCAAAATGTAGCGACAAAATTGCATTATTTACATATTCTTTTTGGAACGCCCACTCCGATTCCATGATTTAAGTCTTATCTTTCCACCAATTTGGCAGCTATATATATCAGATATAAAAACATAAACCTTAACAAAAATTCTTAAAAGAATGGTGTTATAATTTTTTAGCGGCTTTATAAATGTCTGAGCAGCATTAACTCTGTGCAAGTGGAAATAAGTGCGAGCGACCGATTTTTACATGTACACACAAACATAATACATAATGAAAAAATAATCACTGCATTAAATTTTTATTATTATTAATACCGGTTTAAGGACACATACACATATACACTTAATGCCCTTTGCAGTTGGTCATTTGTTTGCTTCCTTCCGGTTATTAACTGAATATTTTAAACTCGAATGACATCTCAATAACAATGTTTTTTTACTCTGCCTAATGTGGATTCGCATCAATTGATTAATATATTCAGTAGTGCAATGGACAGTCTGAACTGCCCTCGAGAAACCGTTAACTGTAATTCAAGTGTAATATTGTCCCGTATTTAGGCGCGTGTAAAATGCTGACATACATTTAAATTGGTCGCAAAATTTTGTGTAAAAGTACTTTGGGCGCATCAAAATAACCCAGTTGAATATGTATTATGGGATCACGTACATGCATGTACGTATGTACATATACATATATATATGCATATGTATATACATTTATGTAGATATTCATTGGGCACCGGAAACAGGGATAAGAGTTGGCACATTGAAAATATCCCCAAAGCATTCATTGCATCCATTCCCCCGCTTCATTGGTCGCCCATAAAGCCAACTTAAACGCACACAATCATCTTTTTATTGTTTTCGATTATTATTGAATCGGATTGAGTTTTTCTCTCAGCGCAAGTGTTGTCCATTTGTTTGGCGGGAATCCAGCTGATGGCAGGCAGGGCGGTAGGATATGGGCGGTTTTATTTGCCTCTCATTTTGTCCCGTGTCCCAAATTTTATGCGAGTCTAATGGTTGTGCGTACGTTGTTATTGATATTATTAAGCTCAGACAACAATTTTATGCATTGGTCCATAAAAATTGTATTTTATAACTCTTCAATTTCGACATATGAATGTGAAAAGCAGTTGAAAAAAGGGCACGGCTTAGCAAATTGGACACTTTACTTATTTTTTTTTTCTTGACTCACCTAGAAGTAGTCAATAATTTATTTTGGGAAAATAAAACGGATTGGAGCTGCTAAGGCAGTTGTACACCTGCTTACAGTTGTGTGTGCAAAACTTGTTAAAGGAAAACTAAATTATATTTTACAGTTCGGGGTATCGGGGTATCTTGTAGTCGCAATCACTAAACTACTACATTCTCACTTGGCTATTTTTATGGCTGCTGGAAAGTGTGCTTTTTATATGACCACATATCTGGTATAGTCCTTGCGTGCGTCGTATAGTCTGATATCAAATGTTGTGCTATTGAAAGAATTATATTCCCCGGTCATCGTTGCTGAGTTACTGAGTTGCATGATGAAGGGCTTCATAGAGCATTTGCTACTTAATTTCTTTAATTGGATTTCAAATGTTTTGCCTCGGAGCTCTTTGTGTTTTAGTTCTACAATGGTGCGAATTAATCGATGTTTCGCTTGTACCTCATTGGCACTTTTATTTGCGATAGGTAATTTAACACTGCAATCAAACACTCGTCACTTCCCTCCACCCTCACAGTCTGTCACGACTAATGCGGATTAAACGCAGAAGAGCAATAAAATGGACAATGGGACAACAATTGCAATAAAAACATTACATATATGTTTAACGCCGACCAGTCCCCTACTATTTGGTTCTTGTTTGCTATGCCATTAGTTCGATTATTTTGTGGCAAATATAAAAGTTTGGTTTGTTGGCACAAACACTTTTCGACTACTACCAGCGATGTGCAAATAAAAGAAAACAAGAAACAATAGTTAACTTGGGCATGCCAAAGATTACATATTCAATATTCATTTATTTAACTCCACAAACGAATAGTTATTAATGTTACAGTTCAAGGTAAGTCTAGAAAATTATAGATGTTTATACGACTTTTCGTACTTGGCTCTCCGCATAAGTTCATGTGCATTGATAGCCTGCCTCGCGCAAAAAGTTTGCTGTCAGGTTGTTGCACGGATTCCGTTGGCATTGTCGTCAACTTTCAATTTATTTTAAATTGCGCCGGTTAGTTGCAATTTATTTATAAGCTTGTCAACAGCAGCGCAGCAATTAAAATTCTTGACAAGTTCCAACTTAAATATAGGTCCTGCTAAACTGTGTTGAGCCATATGATTAACGATCATTGTTTGAGTGTAAATTGCATTTAAAATCTCTGTTTATTTTTTCGATAAGATTACAATGAAGCAGGCAAATTTCAAAATGTTTTTGGCATCGTTGCATTATTTTGTTTATTTAACATTTATTTTCGTCATTCCCCACAATTGAATTTATGTTGTATAAATTCCAAAAGAAAAAGTATTCACAGAAAAAAGAAAAGAGTTATTTATATATGTGTGTGTATATTTAAATGCCAGTGCATGCATTTCGTGAAGTTTAAAAATATTCTTCAGCTTAAATAATTTTAAAGCACACTCAATAAAGTTTACTACTGGCGTTAATTATCCATCCAAGTTGATTTACCCGTAGTGTATGCAAATAAATAAATGCTCATGGCCATAAATTTATAAATGTCATTCGATAAATATTTTGTTTGGCTGTGCGGAGGTGTAAAAAGGGCTGAATGGGGCCAGGGCGGGGTGGGTGGGCGTTGCAAGGCAACAATGAAAGCACATCGAACGACAAGCTGTTGACAGCTGTTGGATTCGCATTGTGAACATTGAAGCTGCCATCATTGTTGCTGGCGTTAATAAAATTTATTTGGAGAGACATTTTGCATAAACACATTTTCATTTAATTTTGCATAATATTTGCTACCTGAGTGGTCTTCGGTAACAACAACAAAACTCACAATATATGCAGTACATCTATTTCGCTAGGCTTCATTTTAGTTATCGAATTACGCATGCAAATATTAATTTCGTCATATTAATTATCATGCGCCAGCTATTCACACCCTAACAACCATGCATAATTTACTATTTTCAGCAATGGCTTACTCACCCAGATTCTCCACCTGACAGGGCAGGACGAGCGTATCCCCAACCACGGCTCGATAGGTGTGTCCCCGGGACAAGAAGCGAGGCACCGCCACAGCCTGCGAGCTCGAAGCAACCGCAGCGGGCTGCTGCGCATTGGTCATTGAATGGGTGCTGCTACCTGTAATTAGAACAATATTTTTAATTAATTTTTAATACAATGTATGCTATGCCAAATGTATGCTTATTAATAAAAAGATTTTAGTAGGCATAATAGGGTAACGAAGCAGCTGACGAGCTGGCAAGATTGACTGCAGATCATCATCATTTTGTGGCATTGGAAAACAAAGAATACGGCAACAATTGAGAAACGAAGAAATGAAGAAAGACATCTACGGCAATCGAGTTGGACAGAGGCAGCAGGTCTAAGGCAAGCCAAATGTATTTTTGCCATTTATAATCAGAAACGACTTAAACAAGGAGCATGAGCAGAAAAGAAGTTGGAATACTCTTGACAGGATACTTCAAACTAAGGAAGTCTTCCAGCTAAACTAGATTCCCCTTATTCCACAAATAGAAATAATTATGAATATGGATTTATTTAAATTTAAAGTTTTCTGTAAAATAAATTTAAATAAGATATTTTCATTTTTTCTATACTCTTTTCAATCAGTCCATAATATGCATACATTAAAATAAATGTATTTAAAAAAACTCAATAATATTTGTGATTCGAAATAAAGTTACAAATTCGAAATTGATTTCGGTAAAAAAGAAAAATTCTATTTATTTAATTTTTTTATTATTTATTTTTGTTCATATCAAGGTGCGCATCAACGATTATTGAGAGGCAAAAATTTGTTTCCAATCGAATGGCTTTCAATTAGCATAAAAATATAGGATGGTGCTATTGACTTTTATGCTCAGCACACATGACTCCCAGGACACTCATAAATATTTGCAGTCGATACTGACGTGAGTGTGTGTGTGTGTGTGTGTGTGTGGGGGGGGGGGGGGTTATACTCAGCGAAAGAATGTGGACGCACTTTCGTGTCCTTGGGGCACAATTTGGTGTGCGTCAGCATGTAGAGTAACCAGGAAGCGCCATCTTAAAGCCAGTTTCAATGACATTTTAAGATGGCCTGAAGTAGCAAGCGAGCTCGCTTTAGCCATCTCACGTCCGCCGTTGGCATTGGCGACAAATGTGCGCAGCGAGCCAACAAACGTCTACTCTGCTCCTAAACACAGAGCGTTGATACTTGCAGTTCTTGCTCCCTAGTCCTTAGCTGTCTCTGGCACGGCAACGCAGCGTAACAAATTTGATTACAATAGCAACAGCAACAGCAAAAGGCAACACCAACACCAACAACATGATTCGTGTAAAATAAACTTTGGCCCTAAAAGACGCCCCTGGGTGCTGGCCGGTACTCAAAAGTAAAAATAGCAACATCAGCAACGCCGACTAACAGCTTACAAAAAGAAAACACAAAAAAAAAAAGAAGAAAAACAAGAAAGACAAGCAAGCTTTGACTGCACTTTTGAATTTTTATGATGCCCAGACTGGCACCATTCTTGGCACCACGCCCAGGCACCGCCCACGCCCACCGTCTTAGATGATGTCTGGGTGCTTTTTTTGGCCTTGTGCGTTCAACCTGTATTCGGCTAGCCAGCTGCGGTTGCATTCCTGTGAGATACTTACGGGTCATCGTTTTATGGCCGTAACACAAAAGGAAACGACAACTCTTTGGTCACTTTGGTCATTCTGTTGGCTTGGCTTTTGTCACCAGCACGTAAAATTTGTCGACAATCTTCCAGTTGACACAGCAGGAGGAGCTCTGTCTGTCTATCTCCGGTGGAGCAAAGGATATCCTTACATAAAATTTAATAATTGTTGCAACCAACTGGAATTTGTGTGTAAAATCACTCGCAACATAAAGCATTTTTTAGAACAGTACAACAGTACAGTCAGCAAAATTAATAAAATTCAAATATATATTCAAATCACCTACTCTATTGAAAATATTTTCTATGATCTTTGTTGAATAATTTCTATATTTGGGAGTTAACGGATTAATTATCACAAAAATATTCATTGTTACGGATGCATCGTGATTTTTGTTCGGCCTCTTAAATTTGACAATATAACTGAAAGATGTGTTTTAATTGATTTAATATTTTAAACAGTTGGCTTAGGTGCATCTATTAGTCGATCTCGTTCGACTGGAACATTCTTAGTTGGTTATTTTGTCATTTATAGAAAGTTTTTCTTTAATTAATTTTTCAAAGTGTTTGCATTGTGTAGAAATTTGGACAAAAATTCTTGCCTGGCTGCGTCAAAAGTCACAGCAGGTGCCATTGAATCTGTGCAGTGCTTTCATCCCTTCCTAAATACCAACTTTCTGCACTACTTATATATATATCTCATGTAAAAATATTCCTTGTTTGCACTTTACTTGTCTGTCGCTTAAGGTTTTCGCACAGTTTTGCATATATGAACATTTTATGCAAAATTAAGTAGTAATCCCATCCTCACCACGCCTCCTTGCATCAACAAAATGGACATTTGAGGCAAGCGGCACACGTTGCAAGCTGGTGTTGCACATTGTACTGCTTCATGGTAAAATGGTATGCAGACAGCATTAAATTGCATGCATGAAATGCATAAGGAGCCCAAGCAATTTAAGTTGGCAGACTGAGAGAAGTTTTCAGTGTGCGCAAGGAAAAACTGGCATTTGTTGTCTGGCACAAAGTTAAATCTTTCACATATTCAATTTCAGGCGACCATCCTTGCAGAAAACAATGAACAACACTTAAAGCATTACAATGCACTTTGAATAATTCCTTAGACCTTAGACTGCACTCATCTTAAAAAAAAAAGATCTGAAATTTTGCTTAATTTTTAAGAAATATTTTTCTTATGAAAAAAGAAGATTTTGTAAAATGTTAGCTTAAGTAATCTTTTGTACAATGGAAATTATGATCTTAGTGTTTTTGAGAAAGATTTGTCTTAAATATTGACTGCAATTCTGAGAAGTGGTGAGAAGAAATTTGTTTTTTCTTGATTTATTTGTTTTTTTATTTGGGTTAATTGTTGGCCATCTATTTTTCCGAGTGTTGGATGCGTGTTCTCTGTCTTTAATAACTTTCGTCGCGAAACAGGTTGTACCTTTTGCGGAGCGCGGTGCAAGCAGTTTTGAAGAATGAGCTGTAGAGCATTTTTGCTGGTGTGCGTTTGAAACTGGAACTGTGTCACACATACGCAATGGAGAACGGCTGGCAAACTTCAGCATGCTTTTAAAAACAATACATATATATGTACATATATGTGAGCTCGTCTCTTAACCACAAATGCTGTCTACAGCGCTGCCACACAATAAACTCGATTTGGAAAAAAGCGCATTTGTTGCTTGAATAATTTATCTCAAACGCACACTTGTCCGCTCAAGTGTCATCAGGCAGCCAGGTGGTTGGAGGAATCCATGGTTGCATGCGGCACTCTTACACAAAGCTCTGTTTGTTTCCCATTGGTGGTGGGTGGCAGTGGTAAGTGCAAATGTGTGGCTGTGGCATTAGCGCTTGCATTAGTAAATAAAACGCGTGGCATCCTTTTTACTGTAGGCCTTTGTTTCCTGCCCGTAGGCAACAAAACGAACCTTTCTACAGCTGCAGCAGCATGACATTTGCATCGATTTGATTTCAATGCGAATGGCACACGTGTCAAATGCACACATTGCTGCAACGCTGATGCACTGAAAAAATTATTGAGAATTTTATACACAATTTAAAATTATAAAAGTACACTTAAAACATCTTTAAAGGCAGTGTTTGATTACTTGGAGTACGAAATAAAGTTTTAATTTTTAGTACTCAATACTGGTATTGAATTAAAATACCACTAAATGAGTTTGGAATTTGTTTAAAGCTACTCAAATTTTCACCTTAAAGTTGGTTGATCTCATTTAAAGTGAAAAAATAAAGGTTTATATTTTTAAAAATATTTTCTATATTAAGAAATAAGTTTCTTACGAATTACTAATTTTAAAAAGTTTGTTTTTCATATACTTAGAAATTATTTCTAATTACCAGAACATTATTGTAGTTTTTAAGGTGTTATTTTTCTTAGTGTATGTATTTAAAGTTCTTAAATGTTTCGTAAGCAGCTGTTGCAGCTCGCAAACAGCGAAATTGCATTCGTTACTCAGTTGCGGCTGCATTGACGGTTTTAGCTGTGAAATTCGATTCGATATATGTACATACAATTATTTTTGGCTGCTGTTCCCATTTTGTATGCGACACTCTCGCCTAACCGATATATGACATATGAGTGGAATAAATCTAGCATTTATTCGTTTTTCATTTTACTTGTGGACAGCACACAGTCAGTAGTGCGAAACAGGCAGCTAAAGCGCTGAGGTCGCTTCATTATTTTAGTCGTATGCATTACACACACCCAAACACACACACACAAACACACACACAAACACACACACACAAACACACACACACACACACACTTGCATACATGTGCACATTGCAACATTGCGTTGTGTTTGTATCTTTTCTCATTTCCGTTGGGTTTCGCTTGCAGTTGGCACACTCGACCAAACTTTGCACGGCTTCTGCGGTTGAGTTTACATGCCACAACACCTTTTTCCAACTGAACATTGGCGATGATGCTATGGGCAACATGAGGTGTACGACTTGTGCGCCAACAACAACACCTTGTATACAACTGTAAGTCTATCTATTAGTAAGAGCCACATTTTGTTTCATTAAAACTTCGGACACATGTGAGAACACGTCTGCTTGTCTGTCTATCTTTCTGTCCGCCAGTCTGTCTGTGTGTGTGTGGTTGCAACGTGGTGTGGTTGTGATCAGCATCTTTGCATGTTTTCCTATTTGTTTAGTGTTTACTTTGCCTTGTCATTCCATCTGACTTTCAGCAAATGCCTTCTCTCTATTTGCCTTCCATGTCTTTTAAATTATGCACAGAGCAGAAGTGTGGAACAGAGAACAGCAGCAAAAATAAAATATAAAAACATGTAAAAAAAAAGCGAGAGAAGAAGAGTAAACACTCCAGAGATTAGATACCCTTTCTGCATGAAATATTATTTTATAAAAATGTAAAAACTTCTTTAGTTTACTTTAACTGCTGACATTAAATATAATCAAGTAGTCAAATTTTGATAATTTGCGAAAATGTGCGAAAACAACTAATTTTTCGACTCATTTTTCATATGCGATAAAGTCAAGATTGAATTTAGAAAGAGAACGCACTCTAGACAAATATGGCAATCTCAACACGGTTATTGATTCCAATTTCCTGATTATCAGAAAATCGCCATACTTTCGATGCCAGAAACTATTTCTCTAAAATGGAAGATTGAATTTTCATTTTCTTTATTTGCAAAGTGAATTTTTTTATAATATATTCTTTTGCATATGTGTAAAATTAAAATATTTAAAAAATATGTGCTTAAAACTTTACTTATTGGAAATCAAATTCTGATAAGTAAAAAAGAGTTTTCCGAAAAGTAGGAATTTATTTCGTACATCTAAAATTCATGTAAAAAACCAGCAAATTTGTTTAGTTTTCAATGTAATTCTCATTTTATGGGGTCGAAAATAAGTCCTTTAACGACATAGTTGTAAGGCTCTTCGCAAGAGTATTCAAGTGCGAGGGCAGCAAAAAAAAAAAAGGATGTTCATTTCCTCGCAGGCAAACTGTTTGCTTGTTAGCTCAGATTTCCATGCATATGGAGCCAAGTGCCGCTGGCTAAATTACCACAACGCCGACAGTCCCCGCCCAACAGCCCCGCCAACATATTGCATTTTATTCTTTCGTTTCGCTTTGCTGCTGTTGCTGTTGTTGTTTTGCAAATGCATATTTAATGCATGGAAATTATTAACGAGCACGCTGAAGAAGAAGGCAGAGGAGAGCAGTGCCTGGAGCGCAACTCTATTGTTTCTTTTTCTCACACCTTTTTATTGGCAGTAATTTGGGAGAGTGGCTCAGGCACGCCCATTGACATAACAAAAGCAGCCGCCCACTGTCTGCCTGCCAACCGCTCCGTCCGCCTGCTGTCAGTTGCAGTTCGCAGCATTTGTCAAATGCGTCCCGTCGGGAAAAATCTAGAAAACTGGTGTAAAAAAAAAGCTGTTGTCGGCTTTTAAGCGTTGCCAGCAGAACAATTTCGTTGCAATTTCGAAAACCTCAGCGCAATGTCATTCAAACGATGAATGCCTTTCACCTATCATCCACACACACAGACAGCCAGCATGTGTGTGTGTGTAAATATGCAAATGTTGCCAGCTTGGAGTTGCTCTTCTTCTTGTGTTGCCTAGGCTCTCCTGCTGGGTGTGAACCAGTCAAGCTTTTTAGCTTGTCGATAGTCAATCTATTCATCTCTCTAACTGGTCTCGCATCTGAAAGCTGTCAGTCATTTGTGTGTGTGTGCAGTGTATTTGTATTTGTGTTTGGCAACGCCTGGCAGAGATGCTTGCGCTAAGTCTGTTGACTTTTATGCACATATCATTTGCATAACATTATTTATCCATCCGCCCAGCGCATTAAATTTTTCAAATTCCAAATAAATCCCGCAAGTGAATTTCGTTTTTTACGGTTTTTTTTTTTCTGAACGCCATCATTTTTCTTGGCAGCATCCGTGCAGTACTTACTGTACTGCACTTTGCCAGCTTCCCGTGCATCCTGCTTGTCTGCCGTTCAAAAATGTTGCCCCTGACCCTGCCCCTGACTCTGCTGCCAATGCTGCCACTGCTGCTTCAGTTGATGCCTGCTCAAGGTGGCTCCTGACGCTGACAGTTTCTTCATTTGCATTTCGGGTTGATCCCTGTTTGATTTACGCCCTTTCTTGTGTGCCCCTGACAACTGGGCCAATTGGATGTATGCGCAAAACGGAAATTGAATGTTGCACTTCACATTTTTTCCCTTTGTCTTTTTTCTGTTTTCCATTATTGTGTGTTCTTACTTTCTGTTCATTGGTGGGATTATTGCAAACGATTGGCTTAACCTTTGCTGTAATTATGTAGTTTTCGCACTTTAATTAAGTTGTTTCACAGATATGCTTATCAACTTTCTACCTATTGATTTTTTTGCGTTGTATTCGATGGAAGGATTATGTCAAATATGTGGTTGAATGTGTACTGCTATTAAATTATAATGAGCTGCTCTCCGAGCTGTTTTCTATTTTCTTTTTGACGGTATGATTATTTGAAATACCTTACTTAAATTATATTAAATTATACTGAATAATAATAATAATAATAAAAATCAGAAAGCCGTCTAAATTTCTCTTTGTTTCTGCTTATAAATGCTGTTTTATGAGAAAAAAAAATTAGAAAGCAGTTTAAGTTTTTTTTTATTGCTGCTGACCTTGAAAAAAATCGTAAGTCGTTTGCAATTCTGGCCTATTTAGCTGCCAATTCTCGTCTGGCCATGAAGATTTTCCCATTAATCAAGAAATATGCGTTGAGATGATATTTTTAAAATTGGATACGCGATTAGTGCTCCATATATATTGGGTTCATGCCATCCAAGAGATTATTAATTTTCTACTTCAAAGCCGTGTTCTGTGGTTTGAAAATTAAAGCAAAATTCCAAATGAAATTGGTTGGAAAATTCCCATAATGACTATGCCGCATTTGTTGTAGGTCCCCACTGCTCCCACCCACTCTGTGACCAATAAGTTTTCACGCCTAAGCATTGTTTACGGAACATTTAACAATTGCAGCGTCAGCGAAAACAAAAACACAACTCATTTTAAATGTAGAGAAGATGCGGACTTAAAGTGGCTTTAAACAGCCGCTGGACACATACTTAGTGAGAGGCACTGTCGACCAGTGTAGAGCGGTTGCGGAGGCAGACGTAAGATATCGCATTAAGAATTTAAATTAATTAAATTAAAATGCATGGTGTATGTGGTTGCTTCGGTTGCTTGCTTTTTTGTTCTACAGATTCGAACGGCGGTAGGACGAAAGGACGAGCCAAGCAATTGGCTACATTGTAAGGATGCGCTGGTGGTGGTGGTAAGTATGCTGATATTGCATGCCCCGGACACATGCCCCGGGTTGTTAAAGCTGCCACAGCATTTGCATAAAGTATAATGGCCATCATCCTGACTGGGCTCGCTGCCTAGCTGCCTGGCTGGCTGGCTGGCCCATTCAATTTTCCGCTTTTTCCATGCCTGCTTTGCTCAAGCGACAGATGGACATTTGGAGAGACAGATGAAGAGGCGGACAGTCGGACAGACCGGCGTCGTCTTTGAACTTTTCACAATGCTCTCGTCTTGGGCTGTCCTGAAACATTTGTACCACACTTTATGCAGGACATTTCCGCGCCGCATGTCCAGTTCCTGGTTGGATTCCAAATGGTGGCTGACTGGCTGAATGGCTGGCTGGCTGGCTGGCTTGCTGGATAGTTACTTTGCTCGATTTCGTCTTGGCTCTGTTTATTTCCGCTTTTCCATCTGGCTTTGTTTCCTGATGACCGTCTATGGCGCGTAAAAAATCAATTTACTTTTATCTGTTTCAGTTGCTGTCTCTTGTCTTGATAAATGCCATGCAAATCACAACTTTGTATCTAATTGCTGCAATTTGATTTCGCGTTAACCTTAACAGGCCTTTGTGTCTGTTGTATGTGTTTAGTTTTGCATATATCGTGCCAATGATGTTTATTTTCAATGAATACGATATTCCAAAAATTACTCCTATATCGAATAATTAGCCACGTTGAATCACCAAGAATATGTGCTCAGCAAAGCAAATGCTGCAAATGAATAAGTTTTAGTTGGCCATACAGTGCCTCATGTTTGCATTCCGCACTGCAGGTCACTGGGTTTAATTTATTTGCTTATTTAGCTTTCGTTGACTTTCGTCTGCCCGGCTCGTACACTCAGCGAAACATCTCTCTGATTTTTAGAAATCTGCCACACCTTGGTGAAGTATTATTCCGAAAGTATATTTGTAAATTCTAATTATGTTTATATGTGTTTACACAGAAAACAGTCGAGGGAATAATCTTTTTTACTAGTTACTGAATTTTTAATTCCACTATTTTGAAATATTTTCAGTTATATTTAATTACATTAATTTATGTTAATTGAATATAATATAATATAAAAATTAAAATATTTTTATAGCTTTAGCTGCCATTTTCATGTTGGCTCCACAATATTTTCCAGAGTTTACATATTTTTGGACTGGTTTTATATTTGGTTTTTAAAGAAATTCGACTGAATAATTTGCGGTCTGTTTGTACGGTTTGTGCGCAATTTACCCATGTGATTTAATGAGCATGGTCAACAAATTAGTTGAAGAGCTCGTTGTACGTATGCATATGGACATACACGTCTATATGTATATGTTTGTACTTTGGCAGATACTATTTGTTTGTTTGCGCATCGTTTTGATAATGTGCACAATTAGCGATAATTCGATTGGTGTTGTTTCAGCAGCCTCATTTGATAGCAATACCGGACAATCAATAAAGGTAAATATGTTTAATATGCTGAAACTTGATTTTGCGGCCAAGTTGGTTTACATTCCAGTCACACACACAAGCACACAATCACACAAACACACATACACAAAAAAAAAAACAGAAAGAAAATGCATGTCATGCCGGAAAAGAAACTAGTCGACAGTTTTTTATGTCCTTTCACAGGGTCTTTGAATTTTGTGTTCAAATTTGCAACGTTTTGAACAAGTGATCTCAAAAAATATATATTTTATTTAACAACATCTGACTAGCTGACTGAACATAGCCATATAGCCGGATGTTCCTAGTAAACTTTCTCATATTAAAAGCAATTCTGATGGAAACTAAATATTTAGATGCATTTCTCTTTAATGTAACCCGTTCCGTAACAATATAACTATAAATATGTAAAACATACAGTTTAAAACCAAATCTTTAACGTTAATTAATAAATGTTTTTAAAATATTTGTGTATATACAAAATCATTTTTTTTAAATATTTGTTACAAACAAAAATAAAGAATATTGAGTTCACAGCAAGCCTATAAGTAAAATATCAGCAGTGTAACTCTGCTCTACAAGAGTATTTTATCGTTGGATTGCACAAATGAAGGTCTCTCTCTTGTTTTTAGTTGCAATGTAATTTGCAAGGACTGCACGTTCCGGCTCACAACATTCTTATTTACTGCAACGCATACATTAGATGGAAACTGTTTTCCACAATTTTGCAACGCATACATTAGATGGAAACTGTTTCCAACAATTCCGGATATATCAGGCAGCCGCCTCTGTGCCCAACGTTCCATAACTAGGTTCAATTTCTCTAAAAATAATCACTTGAGAAGGCAGCATGTGAGTTTTCTCAAGGACACTCTATGTGGTTAAGGCTAGATTTGTCTCTGACAGCATTGAGCACAATTTAATGGCAAGAGACCAAACAAAGTCGAGATTTAAAGAGCAATGTTTATTGTTTGTAACATTTTGTGTTTCTCATATTATTTCCCTTAATTATTTCGACTTAAAGTTGAGCATTATTTGTTCGCTTAAGTTGTGGAGCAATCAAATTGATAAAGCAACACAAGTCTGTTGAAAAGTGGGTCGCACACACACACACACACACACACACACACGAACATGTCAATGCGCATACAACGGAAGTGTGTACAGTTGAATGGCGACTGCCAAGTCCAGGCCGGCCAAATGTTGTCTGTACAGGAAGCGGAAACGAGCTGTGCACATAAGTAGAAAGGAAGGATGCAAGCGCGCCATTCTCGAAGAGCGGCCAAAAATTGTTGCCACCAATCCAAACCCAATCCAGCCCAGCCAGAGTTTGAATTTGCTGCAACAACCATCGTGCTGCTAAGTCAACGCTAGTCTCTTACCTGATTGTACACGTGAGGCACGTTGCAACTGAATATCTTCGTGTTTGCACTCAAAAGGAAATAAGCTTGCAAAAATTTATTTAAAAAAAATAATGAGAATGACTACGAAATACCCTAAGCCCGGTTGTCAAATCTATTTTTATAGTTTTATTGTTTCGTTATTAAAAAGATTTGTCCACTCAAATGAAAGCATATTTGGAAGAGCTCTAATTTCTTATGATAACTTGGTTGTTTCTCATTCGATCTGTATGATATTTGAAAATGTTTGAAATGGTTTTTTTTTTATCAATTGGAATGCACTGTTAGACTTACAAGTAGACACGCGAACAGTGCTATATTAACTTGACTGTTGATCCTGCTCAACAATATACACACTTTATGTGTTCGGAGATGCCTGTTACATACGCTTGCAAAAAATTATTATACCCTTCTTACCCATTTTTTTATGGGTTCAGGGAATAAAAAAGCTGACTTCATTTGCGAAGTGAATTTGTTTATACTATAAACTTTGCACTTAAGGGGAAATAAGAGAAAGATATATTACTAAATAGTATATGTGGAAGGGTTTTTCAAATGTTCAGTGCATTTTTTCTCTAAAATGCAGTCTTCTTTGTAAACTCTAACGTTTATTTTTTTCCAAGTGTATTTTTGTGTTTATCCTGCGTAACACTTTTCAGCTTTTAGTTTGCTTTTAATTCAACATCGAAAATGAAATTCGAAACTGTGCCAAATGTTTGCACTAGTAAAGATTCATGCAGAAGCGCGTTTACCTCCAGATATACGAGTATATCCAAACAAGAACCAACTCAAAACACACTCAAACACAGGAAGCGAAACTAAAGTCAGCTTCAGCGGAAGTGAAATAGTTGGAAGTGATTTTTTTGATTTTCATTGAAAACTATCTAGTGCCTGTACTTAATATTAAGTTCAGGGTTTTTGTGGCTGGAAACAACAAGTACTCAATTAAATCGATACTTAAGATGAAGTGTATTGTTACAAGAATTTGGAATCAGATCTACACTCGGTAACAAAAATCATCCTAAGAGAAATCTCTCTTAGATATTCGTCCTGCAAAAAATTGTCCCAATTAAGGACAGGCTCTGTAATATCCCGAAATATATTCCTTAATAATGGTTGTTTTTTAAATAATATCATTATTGAAATTCAGAAAATAGTAATAAAAGTTGCTCTATCGACTGCTATTTTGCAGATTAAAATCGTAGGTTTCTTAAATCGAATTATATTTTATTTAGCACGATTCTTTTCGGAGTGCATATTTTGTGATTTTAGCCATGATCGGAAGGCTGTCACCAACAGAACTGTGAAAAATAAATTGCAATCTGTGCAAATTAATTACACTTTTAATTAGCGAGGCTGGCTCTCATATGTTTGCAGGCGTGTCAGCTGGGAGCTGTATTTTAATTTATAGCATGGCACTTTGATTACAATTACACAAAAACAAAAAAGTAAAACCTTTTGAAAATTGCCTATAAATGAATAATAAATAAGGTAAGCATGCGTTTGCTTATGTTTGTTTTTGCCATTCATTTAATTAAGTGCTTTGAAAAACCAAACACGAAAATAAATATAAGAAAAGCTCATTTCCAGTGGATTAGCAATATTAAGTTGTATTAACAAATACAATAAATTAATTAACATATATAGCTGAGGGCAATGCGCTCAACGCAAAATATTAAAAACAAACACACCAAAGGCAAATCAAAGGAGTATTCCTGCTAAATGAATTTATTAATTATTGAAATAGTGCGAAGGCTTCAGGCTTTTCAATAACGAAAACTTTCGTTTGAGTTTTATAAAAAGGTCATTGCTTCCTTTTTATGCACTGAGGCCATTAAAAATGTGTAAAAGGAGTTGTGCAAAAGAATGTAACAGGCAGAAAGAAAAATATCCGATCTCAGAGACAATAGGAGCTGGCGACTTCAAGCTTGGAACATGAGCTCTCGCATACCAAGTGCAAATCTAATTTATTTCATTTCATAGATAACTGCCTCTGGTAATAAAAATATAATATATTTAAGACTTGGTTTGAGGGAATATTTAAGTCGTACTTGCCTCAGTGAGTACTTGTGACAAACTTGTGCAATGCTTTTTGACTGGTATTCTTTGTAATTGTATATGACATTGGCCAATGGCTTTGTTGTCGGGTCTATTCGTTGCCTAGTTCTATAAAATATTTGCTCTAAACATGCACGCTTAATTTGCAAGAGAAGAACAAAAAACGAAAGAAAAAAAACTGAAAATGAAAATATAACGTATTGTTTTATTTTACCGTGCTCTTTAACGTACGCCGTAGGCTGATTTTTTGGCACGATTGCCAACGACAAATTTTGTTTGTGTTTATTTTTTTCTGGACTGCTTCCAACTAGAACCCACTTAATGTGTGTGTTTGCCATTTATCAAAGCTCAAATGGTGCCTGTGTTGTGCAGGCCATCAAAGGGTTAAATCTTTGGTCCCTCTCCTAAACTCGACATATGCATGTGTGTGTATGTGTGTGTGTGTGTGGTTGTGCGCGTGTATTGCATATGAAAAAATCCTGCGGCTAATAAGTGACACGCGTCGATTAATAAAACTGTATAATGTAAGGGGGGTGTGGAGGCAACTTACAACTTACAACATACACATACACTTTTGGGTGCGGCGGTGTGTCTTGTGGGGTAGGAGGGGTGTTGTGAGGGGGGGTGCAGGGTGGTTTCTTGGC